TCTGGCTGCTGGTCTGGCTGTTGATCATCTCGTGCTTGGTTATACTGTTGACCTCGAAGGTCCAGAAAACCACGCTTGACCAGCTCGTCCACGTGCAGGTCCGCCATCTGAAAACAGGTCGGTGAACTGCATGGTGGCCACCTCGTGCTCAGTCGCCCTTCGAAGGAGACTGGGTGAACTCAGTATCGGGATCCTGTTGTGGATCAGCCAGTAACCGTGCTCATCCTTGCCCAGGCACCGGGCAGGTCCATGCCATCGTGCATGCGGGTTCCGCTTTAGGTTATCAGATCGCCCAAACATCAATAGATCACCGTGCTGAAATGGCCCTGGCTGGGGCCTCGTCCTCGCCAGAACTGTCCGTCTCAATGCTGATGAGTTTGCTGCCTTGAAAAAGGATTCCGAACAGATCGGTTGAAGGTGTAGTCGGTGACAGAATGACGAATTCTCGGCCACTCGTGAAACCATTGCTGGGTCGTTGTCGGGATTCGTCAAACTTGCAGGCAGTCGATGTCCAGCTCCAGGTGCCCACAGCTATGGTGAGAAGCCTGCCGTGCTGACGTTGATTGCACGCGTTGGCCATGCCACGTACTGCTGCTGCAACCGAATCTTGACCACGAACTTCCCCAGCGTTGAAGACACTCGTCGCCATCTCCTTCAGGTAGCGTATCTCCCTCTCGACCTTGCCCATCTGCCAGTGAGCCTCTGGGGCCGCGCTGTTGATCACAATGCCCAGGTCGTTGCACAGCGTCTCGAACTCGCCCATAAAGGTAGAGTCCTGGTCCTGCTCCACGATGCGCGGTGGCCCGGCCCAGGTAAACCATCCGAGTTCGAAAGCCTTCTTTGCTAACTCTGCCGTAGGTCTCGATCCGGGACACGTGTAGATCGCCACGGTGAAGTCCGAGGCCACGTCCACGATAACAAGCACCACGTGCATGTTCTTGTCCAGGTCGGGTATGATCATGAAGTCCATGCTGATGGCTTCGTTAAAGTCCTGAGCCTTAGGCTGAGCTGCCGTAGGTCTCGCTGCCGTCCGAGCTTGCTCTTCGCATGTCGTGCATCTGAAGAGACGTGCTGATTGTACCGCTCGTCGGCTAGCTCCACCATGCTGTAGATACGGTACCAGTGACTCCTTGTATGGTCCATGTGAAGGGCTTTCGTGTATCTTCTTGATAGCTGCTCGCATGAGTGGTGGCACCGCCGTCCATTCCGCCATCTCGATGTTCTCGCCATGCTTGTTGAAGATCGCCGCCGCGCTAGCGTGCATCGGCGCCTCCGTCTCCGCAGGGTTGGCCTCGAATTCGTCACAGTCGATGTCGTCGAAATTGTTGGCGTACCGGGCGTGGCCACCATGATGCTTCTCGAGGTCTCGCTGATCCTCGATGCCGTCCAAGATCGTCTTGGCCAGCTCCTTGGTCCAGTCTCCAAGGCTCGATGCTGTTCCCTTCGGCCTGTTGATCACGCTCGTGTGTGCGTGCTGCTCGTCACATCTGATGCTGTTGAGCTTCTTGCCGAGCATGTGCGGTCGTCAGGAACCTCGTCGGCTTCTTGACTGGATCGCCCATGAAGTCCACCAGGTTGCTGCCCTCGGCGCACTGGTGCATCATCGCGCTCACGAACTCTGAGCCCAGCCATGGCATAAGCTGCCAGGCTCTCGACGTCAACGGGTTTTCCAGTAGCATATGAGCTCCTCGGCGCTTGCAGTTGAGCCAAATCATTATGACAAGCTGCAGGTGCTTCATGCCGATCGCCAACTTACGCATCTTCGTGTCCTTCGGGAACATGTGGGATATGTTCGTGAACGGGTCGCAGGGGAAGCCCACAATGGTCATGTAGGGGTCATCCTCGTTCAGCTACTTCAGGACGGTCTTCTGCGACTTCGCGCCCAGCAGGTCGTCCCCGATCATGATGTCCCTCGGCCTCGTCACTGGATGCCGCCGCTGCTGAGCTTCTGATGTGGCTGCCATGCCACCTGCGTAGAGCTCGCAGATGATGGGCCGCTTCTCCTCAGGGTCCGCCTTCAGCGTGTCCACGATCTGCTGGCACTGGTCCAGCTTGTCCTGAATCTCCTTCTCCCACGTCTCGATCTGCTTCCTCTGCTTCCGCCGTAGGATGCCCTTATCGATCTCCTGGACCTCCGCATTCCAGATGTCGATCTCGTCGGGCGTGACTGATGGCACGATCTTTGTCGTCTCCTTCTTCGGCCACTCCTTGAGCGAGATCGTCAGGTGTCCCTTCTCCGTCTTGTTGAGAGGCACTCCGTACTTGTTGATCGCCTTGAAGTCCGCGTTCCGATCCTTGATGTATATCACTGTGTCTAGCTCCTCCAGCTGGTGGATGCTCAGCAGTATTGGCGTCTTTGACTTCGGCCACCTTTGGAAGCGTAGGTTCACGTCAGCTCCAGCAAGTCCAGCCGTCACCACTCGTTCTCCTTCTGCCATGGCCGGGGCGCTATCATTCACGCCTCGGAAGCGCATGTATGATCCTCCCATCCGCGTGGTGACTCTGCCGTCCTCTGTGTAGCCGCCTAGTGATATTGAACTTCCACATCCACGTAGGCACGCAGTGTCCAGGACGTCCATCTGGAATAGGTCCTTTTCGTACTGCGTAGGCCTCGATGTCTTCCAGCTCCTCGTAAGGTTGCTGCCGCCCTGGTGTTGGTTGGTGTGCGGTCGCCCTCTGGGGCGTAGTTGGTTCCAGCTCGGCGTTGCGTCCACAACCATGTCGGTCGTACTCCAATCGGTAGGCGCTCGCAGGTACTCCTCACGATGTCACGTAGCTCCGAGGTCTTGTCCCGCGCTGCTTGGCAGAGATCGTGGGCCATATTCCTGAGACCGTTCGGCGCCATTTCCATGGTGATGCGCATGAGCTGCTGGAAACGATGTAGGGCCCAGTCCAAACAGAAATCCATGTAGTCCCTGAAGGCCGCTTCCATGTTCTCGCAGCTGACCCACAACGCTGCGATCTGCTCAGCACGATCTCGTAGCTTCTGTAGGTCGGCCGCTGTGTTGTCTTCTCCAGGTAGTCTGTGCTTGGTCTGCTGGGCTCCGTCCTCGACCACGACCCTGGTGTCGGTCTGCTTGTCCACGATCTCTCCTCCGAGCTCACTGGGGTGCTCATGGGGTTCGTCAGATTCTTGTGCTAGATGCTCGTCAAGTACTGGGTGTAGTTCGTGTGCCTGGTCGGTCCTCTCTTGGAAGTTCGGCTGGTCTCCTGCTGCTGATACCGCGTAGGGATTCGCGATCTGCTCCTCGGTGTCCGCTGCAAGTGCGTCGCAGTCCGCATCACTCAGGAAGACGTCCTCGTCGCACGCACGTTCGTCTCCGAGTAGAGCATCTTCTTCTTCGTCGTCGTAGTCCACCGGGTAGGTTCCATAGCGTCCATGTCCACGATCATCTCGGCTTGCGCTGTCCAGCTGTATCAGCATGGCTGCCGTTACGTCGTCCCAGATGTACTCGTTGTTGCATTGGCCAGGGATTGCCTTGTGCTCTTGCATGCTGATGTTTGCTAGCTTCAGTAGAAAGTATGTCCGTGGGTCCTCGCTGACTGTCGTATTCGTTGAAAGTGACTTGAGCCGTTCGTACTCAGTCTTTCGCCTTGATATATAGTCCTGCACAGACTCCGTTCTATTGCGAAAACCTCTGAATACATATTCCTCGAACGCTTGCTGCTCTGTAGTGGTGCGATCCTCTCGCCGCCTGTCGTACTGTTGTTACCACCAGTTTGACTGCAGCAAGTGGGTCGTTACCTGCTTCGTCCAACACTGCCCACGTACTGATCTCAGCCTTCTTACATGTAAGTGTCCATGCTCGTCCATTCAGAGAATTATTGAGCTTGATCGCGTAGAGCTTCTTGATCTTCTCCTCGCTAGCGTGGTAGCCAAGTATTGCACGCTCCTCGAACTCCTCGCCGCAGGAAGGGTCTCCGTTGTAGTGTACCACCCCTCCTTGTTAACGAAGAGGGGCCCGTCATTGAGCTGCTGCTGCTGCTGCCTGGACGTCATCTTGATGACTGTGATGCTACTGAGCTTGTTACCGATGTAGTAGCTGTCTAGATCGTTGCTGCTGTAGTTCTGCTGCTCGCCCGGGATGTTGTTGATGCAACGATCCTCGTCCAAGTTGTTGTAGGTGATGATATTGAGCGTCTTGTCGATCGACTTGATCTGTTGAGCGCAGTGGTTTAGCACCGCGAAGAGGTAAGTGAGCGCCAGCATGTATGTCTGCACGGCCACTCTGTATGTAATCCTCGCACTGCGGACTGATTCAGCTCGCGCTACCAGTGTAAATATTGATCCAAATCTCTCCACCCACAACCTCTTGATGAAAGAAGAAATAGATAGAGTGTGATTTGATGTTATACCGAATCAGGCTAGACAGTCGTTGAGTGCGTCCACCCTCCCGCCACAGCTGGCGGGTCCACAGCCAAAACGGCCGCGGTGAACAAGAGAGTGCAAGCATGAGCGAGCGAGAGCAGCAGCAGAGATAATTATAATTATCATCCTATATCTCACATCCCTGCTAATACAACTTTCACACACCACTGTCCACTGTCCCCCCTGTTCCCACCATTGTCCCCACCACTGTCCCCGCCACTACCGTCCCCACCACTGTCCCACTGTCCCACTGTCCCCACCACTGTCCCGCTGTCCCCTCACCACTGTCCCCACCAACACCGTCCCCACCACTGTCCGCACCCCCGCTCAGCGGTTTTCGAGGGGGGCGGGGGTTCGAACCGGTAGTGACCCCCCCCGGTTTTCGAGGGGGGGGGGGTTCGAACCGGTAGTGACCCCTCCCCTTTTCATGATAAGCTGGGGGGGGGGAGGGATTCGAACCAGTAGTGACCCCCCCCGGTTTTCCGGAGGGGGGGGGGGGAGGGGTTCGAACCGGTAGTGACCCCCCCCCCGGTGTTCCGCCAGCAGCGGTAGAACACGCTCTTTCCAAGAACCAGTTTCTACACAGAACCCCAGCAAACAACAGAAAGCAGTGGCTGATGGTGAAATGGAGGTTCTCGGCGACTGGCTGGTCTGGATGGTCCACAGAGTGCACCTGAACGACCCTTCGCTAACGGAGCTCAACTTCGCCAACGTGTGGACCGATATCCCCCGCGCCCCGCCCGTTGCCCCGCGCGTTCTTTCTTGCCGCCGTGTGGGATGCGGATTCGCCGGCCGAAGCCCAGCACTCCTTGCTGGAGCGAGGAAGGGGGTCCAGAAGTAAGGACCAGCGGAGCGAAGCCCATGTTGATGACGACGGGTGATAGGATGAGAAGGAGGTGGAGGAGGAGGAGGACCTCCAGCCACGCGTCAGGAGGAGGAGGAGGACAAGAGTGAAGCCAGGGTACATCAACGACGTTGCAATACGCCCACCCGTCCCAAGGCCCCTCCTCAGGCGCCTCTACACGAATTCCTTCTCAATGCGGGAAACGTTGAAAGGCGAGCGACCCATGATCTTGCAACCAAGGCGAAGCTTACGTGTTGAACAAGGTTCTCGTCTCCATGTCTTTGGCTATGAGGACGGCAACTATGTATGATCATCACGTTGGAGGAAACGTCGTGCGATCACCGCGTTCAACAAGTGCCACAATCAAATTATGAGCACGTTCTACTTTTTGTGCATGTCTTGTCTGCCGGAAGTCTCAAGCGAGTGCCTCGATGTGAAAAGGAGTCACCCTCCACCCGTGTACGTGCTGCACGGACTTGCGTGTTTGATCATAGTGTGTTTCTGAGTATGATGATGAAGCCATGGGAAGTCCCGAGAGACAGTTCCATGCTGAACGCACCTCCTCCGTCCGTGTAGGTGCAATCCTTGAAAAAGCGAATGTACGCTGCGCCAAGGCCAGAGCCACATTTTTGAAAGCGAGCCCATCCATCCGTGTGACTGTTGGACTGGTTAGACCAATGTGCGCGACGCGAAGGGCATAGCCATAGATTGACAAGAAACCGCCCCGCAGCCATGTAACAATTAGAAGCTTCTACGACGAATGTGCTTGGCGCTAGGGCCACCCATGTAACTGTTGGAAGTTTTTGAGCTCCGGGGTCTCAGGCACAACGCCCGTCCCGCCCGACCTACCCGTCCTGGTTGTCGGACGAGGAGGAGTTGTCTGCAATGAAGGGGGTGAAGGGTGAGGGGGACGAGGCCAGCGACGAGGCCGACGACGACGGCGGCGGCGAGGACGACGATGGTGGGCGAGGCCGAGGGCGAGGAGGGAGTAAGAGGAAGAGGGGCACGGGGAGGAGTCGTAGGGGAGCGGGAAAGGGACGGGGCGGAGGGCTGGCGGCGGGAGGAGGCCGGCTTGGCGGTGGGAGTTGGAGGGCTGGGGGGGGGCGCATGGGCAGGGGGAGGAGGCTAGCGAGGGGCACGATTCCCGCAGAGAGAGAGAGAGAGAGAGAGAGAGCGGAACAAGGGGCGTAGGAGGAGGCATTTCATAATGTTGATGATGATGGTGATGATGATCGTCATGGTGATGGAACAGATGGTGATGATGGTATGATGACGATGTTGATGGTGATGAAGATGATGCAGATAGTGATGAATCTGGACATGTTGATCACGCCGATGCTGCAGATGATGATGCTGATGATCATGATGGTGGTGACGATGCTGATGGTGATGGTGATGCAGATGGTGGTGAGGATGACGATGATGATGGAGATGATGGCAATGCTGATGGTGATGATGATGCTGATGATGGTGATGGTGGCGCTCATGATGATGGGCATGCTGATGATCATGACGACGATGCTGCTGATGTTGCTGATAGGGGGTGATTGTGATGGTGATGATGCTGATGACGATGTTGGTGATGATGATGAAGATGGCGATGATGCTGGTGATGATGATGATGTTTCTGCTAATGATGATGATACAAACAATGATGACAATGACGCTGATGATGATGATGATGATGCTGATGATGATGATGATCATGATAATTGTGTTGATGATGGTAGCGATGTTGACGACGTCGACAGGGACGACATTGACAACGACGACGACGACGGCGACGACGACGGCGATACTGATGATGGTGGTAGTGGTGGTGCTGGTGATGGTGATATTGATAGTGATGATGGTGATGATGGTGATGATTCTGCTGGTGGCGGTGGTAGTGGTGATAATGACGATGATGATGGTGATGATGATGCTTATGATGATTCTTATGAGGATTCGTATGATGATGATGGTGATGATGATCAATATGTTGATGAGTTCGATGCTGCTAACGATGCTGATGCTAATGCCGATGTTGATGATGCTGATGATCATGATGATGCGCATGATGATGCTGATGATGATGTTGATGATGATGATGATGATGGTGCTTATGATGATGTTGATGATGATGCATGTTCGTGGTGGTGACTAGTGTCATCATGATGATGAGGATGAGGATGAGGATGATGATGATGATGATGATGATGATAATGATACTGATGATGATGATGATGATGATGATGATGATGATGATGATGATGATGATGATGATGATGATGATGATGATGATGATGATGATGATGATGATGATGATGATGATGATGATGATGATGATGATGATGATGATGATGATGATGATGCTGATGCTGATGCTGATGCTGATGCTGATGCTGATGCTGATGCTGATGCTGATGAGGAGGAGGAGGAGGAGGACTTGGAGGCGGAGGAGGAGGAGAGGAGGAGGAGGAGGAGGAGGAGGAGGAGGGACATGCCGCGGCAGAAGAGGAGGCACAGGAGGAGGAGGCGGAGGCGAAGAATGAGGAACAGCATGAGTATGCCGCGGCAGAAGAGGAGGAAACGGTGGAAGAGGGGGAAGTGCTGATTGAGGGAACAAGGCGGAGGGCGAGGAGGTGGAGAGTGCGGGTCCGGAGGAGGACCAGGAGGAGCAGGAGGAGGACAGATGTGCAGGAGGAGGAGCGATGATGCGGGGGGAGAAGGAGGGGTGATGGATGGTGGAGGAGGGGTGGGGGATGGAGGAACAAGCAGGGGTGATGGAAGGAGTGATGAATTGGGGGGCGATGAGGCGGAGGAGGAGGAGGAGGGGAAGGAGGAGGAGGAGGAGGAGGAGAAGGACGAGGAGGAGGGGGAAAGGAGAGCGGCAGAAGGAGGGAGTGAGAAAGGAGGAGGAAGGTCGTGAAGAGGATCAGGAGAGCTGAGCAGGGGAGGAGAAGGAGGCAGATATAGACAGGTTCACGTCGATGCTGGCATTGTTGTTGTTGATTGCGGAAATAAGTAGGCCGAGGAGATGGCAGAGGACGATATATACCGTATTTGAAGATGCAGGCTTCTGTAGGGCTGGGCTTCTGGTCGGCTCATGCCATCTGTCATCCTCTTCCTGGTCTTTACCTTAATTTTTGCTCTTCAATGTTTTCTTATTTATTCGCTCCTCTCTCTGCGAAGCCCTGCTGCTGCATCTCGTCGGCGTCCTCCTTCTGAGCACACACCACCGCACCTTCTCTCGGGGCGCACGGGCCACAGAAAGATCCCAGTCGTTGCGGTCTGATTATGTTACCCTTTCTGGTGCGGATGTGATTTATTGAGCCAGGACTTCCCATTATGAGCCATATGCATGTCTAGGATAAATGATTTTGACCTCACTCACCCTCACATGTTTCATCGACCAGTTTCTTCGGTGGCTCCAGTGAGAGTGGACCTCGGCTACCCGTGCCCCTTCAGGGGCAACGTTATTACCGCCGCTGCAGACAGCAATTGTTCATGGCAAGGCATGCCGATGCCTCTTCTCATCGTCGGCTTATGCCGACTGAAGCGATCCCGACCGTGATCCAGTGATTTAGATCATGGTTTGCCGACGGTGTGTTGTCGATGCACCCGTAATGTGAGATGTCGGGCAACTTTTTCGTTTCAGGGTTATTTGGGGAGGGTGTCTTCGGATTGAGTGGACTAATGAACGGTGCGGCCGTGTCGTTTGGCCCTTGTCAGAACGACAGGTTCTTGACGAAGTTGGGATGCGGGCTCGACACGCCATGGCGCGTTTGATCGTAGCATCGGCTCATATTGAATGGGCATGAGTAGGATGTCCACATTAGCATGCATGCAGCACCTGATCATGCTCTGGAACGGGGTGCGCTCGAATTTTCCAAACTCATTGCGAAGACTGGGCGATTACACGCTGGACTCCATGCTGGGAGCAACTGGATGGGCGTTGGTATTTGTTTGTTTGCACAATAAGTCGACGCGTGGTATGCAATTCGGATAGCGTTGCATGCGTGACATCTTCGTTCGCATGCTCTTCTGCGTCTTCATTCCTCGCGCATCGCATCGCTTCCAAGGATGCCACTGGGACATACGGAGCCCAGGATAGCACCGAAGTTGGTGAAGGCCAGCCCGTCTCGCCATAGCATCCGAAGTGAAGAAGTGAGACTCGCAACAGTGTTTCCTGATCCCATTTTGGGGGGGAATTCGGCGAATCCAGCGCCGAATCGAATTTCAAATTCGCTCTTTCGCCAACCGTGGGAGTGTTCAAACAGAATCGGTTCCCACATCTCAAGAGGCCTCAAATCGGAGGACGACGGCCTCAATGTTCTCGTACGCTTGAATGAGAAGGGGTGGGGAAGGCAGTGATGGCAGCAACGTAACGCCGGAATTCAGGGGCACTGCTTTGAGTTGCCTGTCAATGCGTGTGAGGGTGAGGAGAATTGACGAAACGCAGAAACACAAGTATGGGAAGGCCATCGCCCACAACACCCACTTAGTGACTCTGCAGCTGTCGCACACCAACCTCCAGAAGCCCGAAGGCGCTGCCGCGCCCACTTCCCGGGCACCCCCTGGTGGATGTGAGGGTCGGGGGCGGCAAAGAGGGGGGTGATGATTAGGGGGGGGATATCATGATGTGGGCCATGATATTTCCCCAGATTTCATGGCGCCTCTTCTTATTTCATCACGTCCCTGGCCCCCCCGCTGGGCGCGCACATGCCGCCGGTCATGATTTGCACCCCCCCCCTCTTGGACACCCCCCTCTTGGCCGCTCCCGAGAGGGGAGGGGAGGGGAGGGGGTGGCGACTGGGAGGGAAATGGGAGCGGGGCGGGCAGTGGCGGCAGAGTTGGCAGGGCCTTCACATCGTGGGCGCGTTTGCCCCTCCCTTCTCATTCTCCCCGCCCAGTCCGTTTCTCCCCACCCCCCTCGTGTCTCCGTGCAAGGGTTTTCTTAATCGTGAAATCGAAATTAATCGTGAGCAGCAAAATACGTAGTGTTTTTTTACGCCGTGTTTTTTGTTTTACGTAGTTTGTTTGTTTGCTTTGTTGTTTGTGTTTACGTAGTGCTGTTTTACGTTGTGTTGTACGTAGTGTGTTTGTCCGTAGTGTTGTTGTTTCACGTCGCGTTTTAAACGTAGTGCTTGTGTTGCGCAGTGTTTTTCTACCTCTTCCTCCTCTACCTCTTCGTCCTCTACCTCTTCCTCCTCTACCTCGTCCTCCTCTACCTTTTCCTCCTCTACCTCTTTCTCCTCTACCTCTTCTTCATCTACCTCTTCATCCTCTATCTCTTCATCATCTACCTCTTTCTCTTCTACCTCTTCCTCTTCTACCTCTTCCTCATATATCACTTCATCCTCTACCTCATCCTCCTCCTTCTCTTCCTCCCCGTTCCTCCTTCTCCCGGTTCCTCCTCCTCCTCCCGTTTCCTCCTCCTCTTTCCGGTTCCTCCTCCTCCGGGTTCTTCCCCCTCTTGGTTCGTCCTCCTCCCGGTTTTTTCTTCTCCTTTTGGTTCCCCTACCTCATCCTCCTCCTTTTCCTCCTGGTTCCTCCTCTGCCTCTTCCTCCTCTACCCCTTCCTCCTCCCCCTCCCGGTCCTCCTTCCTTCTTTGCGTTTCCTCCGTGGTGTTGCCTGTTTTGGCAGCGTAATCTCACGGCGCGCATTTTTACGCAGTTGTTTGCTTTACGCAGTGTTTTTGTACCTCGTGTTTTTTATGTTTACGCAGTGTTGTTGGAAGTAGTTTAGTCAGCTGCTCAAGGAGTGTCGCGCGTCTTGTTTGTTAGGTTTCGGGCATTGTTTTCTTTGCAACGTTTCTTTGCGAAGTGTTGTTTACGTATTGTTGTGTGTTTGTTTCGCAGTGTTTTTTTACGTGTTTTTGTTTGTTTTTTTTTCTTTTTTTTACACGTAGTGTTTTTTATACGCATGTTGCTGCGATGTGTTATATACATAAGCGGAGTGTAGTAACATCGCGCGTTTCCTTGTGAGTTGTGCTTACGCAATTTTTACGGAGAGAAGTCACAGCATGTTTTACGCAGTGTTTGTTTACGTAGTGCTTTTCGCGGTGTTATTACGGAGTGCGGTGTGCGTCGCATGTTTTTGTGAAGCGGGCGTTGCATTGTCTCGCGTATTGTTTTCTTCGTAGCAGTTCCTTGCGAGCTGTTGTTTGCGTAGGGTTGTTGTTTCGCAGTGTTGGTGTTTACGTCGTGTTTTTTAAATTTGTATTACACAGTGCTTGTGTCATACGCGGTGTGTTAGCATGTACTGTTTTACTTTACTTGTTGGAACGGAGTGTCGTAATGTAGCGTGCTCCCATTTAGTGTGTATTGCAGATTGTTTTCTGCGTATTATTTTCTGCGCGGTGTTTCCCCTCGGGGTCTGCTTGCGCAGCTTGTTTTGATTGTTTACGAAGTGTTTTTTTCTCGCAGTGTTTTTGTGATCGGGATCTTGTGCGATTCGGACGCCATCAATTCATAACATGCCCGGAGGCCCTTTTGTTCAAGCTGCGTTGGAGAGCCAAAGAGCCCCAACATACGCTTTCCCCACGCATCCGCGTAACTTCCGCCATGGTAGCGGGGAGCGTGGTTCTGTTGTGAACTACGCAGATCAGATCCACGGGAAGACTGAGGACGCGCGCTGCCCATGGCAGCGGCGCCAAGAGAGCAGCTGGTGGATTGCAGGGGCGACATCGAGCTGCCAGAGTTCAGTGGCAGAGCTGAGGACTGGCCCAGCTGGTCCATCAAAGCTCACGCGTTCTTCGCGCTGATGGGCTGGGATGACCTCATCGATAATGTTGAGGCCCAGCCAGCGCTCGCGGTGGACAACGTCAGCATGGGCGAGCGCGCGACAGCGACGAGCAAGCGGCTGCATGCCACGCTGCAAGTCCTAGCTCAAGGCGCTGGCGATGGTTACGCTCGCAGGCAAGCACGAGGGTTTCGTCGCCTCGCGGGCGATCAAGAACGAGTACGAGCCTGGGGTGGGCAACAGGTTCGCAGCCGTGCTCAGCGGCCTGTTGAACCCCAGGTGGTGCGACCAGAAGCCGCTCGCCGACCAGCTCGCTGCCCGGGACAACGACGTGGCGAGGTGCGTCATGCAGGCGGGGAAGGACTTCGGCGACGAGTTCCGCATCGCCGCGCTGCTCGTCAATGGCCCCCGAGCCGTGCAAGACCGTGCTACGCAATGCTCCGACGGCCGCCAAGGTCTCGCACGTGGCGCTGAGGACCAACCTGAGAGAGAGAGGATGGCGTCTCGACAGGTCTTCGCAGCTAGCGGCGCGGTGGGCCAAGGCGCGGCGCCGATTGAGATCGGCGCGATCTCGGGCCATGCCCTGCCGCAACAGCCTTGGCCCAAGCGCAAGGGTGACATGTCGGGGGGCGGCGAGGGCGACGAGATGGGCGGCGAGGGCGACAGGGGCGGCAAAGGCAGCAAGAAGGGAGTCACTATTGACAAGCTCAAGGGCAGCACCCCCGCCAAGTTTGAGGGAACCTGCAACTGGTGCCAGAAGCAGGGGCACAAGGAGAAGGGCTGCTGGTTCAAGGCGGTCGGCAAGCCTCGGGCGCCGACGGCAGCGCCCCCGACGGCGGCCGCGGCCCAGCAGGCCCCCGCAGGCGCCGAGGGCCGGGGGGCCGTGAGCGCGGTGGCCGCGGGCTCCGACGGCGACGAGGTCGGCTGGGTCTTTGGAGTCAGGAGCTCGGTCGGAGGCTGCCGCAGGGAGGGGCGCAGAGGGCTCATCCTCGCAGACAGTTGCAGCGACGAGCGCCTCTGCAGCCAGGCGTTCGGGGCGCGGCGCCCGACAGTTCAGGGGGGCCCCGCTGCTCCCGAGCTCACCGCGGTGAGCTGCCAGAGGCCTGGCACCGAGGGGCACCGCGGGGCCCCGATGGTCGTCGGCGGCGAGAAGGGTCGCCAGCCATGCCTGGGGAACTTCGGAGTGAGCAACGACCTCGCCCCTCAGGGCGCGGTGCTCAGCCTCGGGAAGCTGGCGCGCAAGCAGTTCAGGTCTGTCCTCGAGGAAAGTGACCCGCACGCCGTGAACCTCAGAACGCGCGAGCGGGCGGGCGTGCAGCTCGTTGGCGACGCGTTCTACTTCGCCGCGCAGATCCACGATGTGATGGGCGAAGCCTAGCTCGCAGCCTGCCCCGCCAGGGTCGCCGCTGCAGGTGCCGCGGGAGCTCCGGGGGGGGCGGCGCGAGGGGGGGATTCTCCGCCGCGCCCAGAAGCTCGAGGGTCACGTGGCCCAGCACCACCAGATGCAGGAGCTGCGCCACCACGGGCGCAGGAGGCGGCGGCGCCGCCAGGGGCGCAGGAGGCGGCGGCGCCCGCGCAGGGCCAGGGGGCACCTGCGGCGGCACAGCCGCCGGGGCAGTCATACCTCGAGGGGCTTGGGCCAAGCTCGAGCATCGACGCCGCGCAGAAGCGCCTCACGGAGATCCACGTCCCGTACTGCGGGGCCAGGGCTCAGCGCTGGGCACGGCTCGTCGAGTACGAGGGCAGACGCAAGGTGAGGGCGGCGACGGGTGACTACCGCGAGCTAAGGCGCGAGGAGATGAGGCGCCCAGCGGAGACGGGGCAGGCGCTGGGGCCGACCACGTTCCCCGACGTCCGCGAGCCGACGCCGGGCGAGAGACAGCGCCGCGAGGAGAACCAGAATTGCCCACCGCGGCGCTGGCGCGTGCATTGCCAGATGGGACGTGGACGTGACAGGCCCCGTGAGCTTTTTGATGCGCAGGTGGAACGCATCCCCGCGATCGGGCCTGACCTGGCGTTCTTCACGGGCGAGGCGGCCGACGCCGCAGTGGCGGGCCCTCGCGCCGAGGATGGCAAGGGACAGGACGAGGAGGTGGCACTGGTGGTCGCGGACGCCGACGCGGGTGCCATGAGGGGCGCCCCGAAGCGTGACCGACGCGCTGATCCCTGCGCGGTGGCAGCCGCGGTGGCACTCATTAAGGGCCTTTCCCATCGGGGGGTTATCTTTAAGGCCGGACCACGAGGATGTCATGATGGACCTGGCCAACAAGGTCGAGCCAGAGGTGCCCGGCCGCGCGGTCGTGGGACTTGCCCCCGCGTTCAGTTCCCAGCCGAACCCCTTCCGAGAACGCCAATGGCATCATCCAGGCGCAGTTCCGCACGAGCAGGGGCGCGCTGGATGCGCGACTGGGGGCCAGGGTCCGACCGGGCACGGCCGTGCGCAAGTGGCTGCAGCGCCGCGCGGGCTAGGCATGCACCGACCTGAGGATCAAGGCGAACGGTCGCGCCGCGCATGAGGACCTCTACGGCCACGCCTGCGCCAGGGAGATGGCCGCCCCAGGGGAGTCCGCCCTGGCGCGCCTACTCAGGGGTAAGAACCGCAGGGCGAGAGGCAGGGTGTACCACAAGGGCGACATGGGCTTCGCGAGGGCGGTCTGGCTAGGGAAGAGCCATGACACCGACGAGCACATATGCGCCCTCCAGACGGGCGAGCTGGTCACGACGAGGACCGTCAAGAGGCTGCCCGAAGAGCGGAGGTTCCATCGCACCGCCGTGGCGGCGATCACGCGCATGCCATGGCAG